CCGTCCAGTAGAGCCTCGATCGAAGAGATTCCGGTTGGTTATATCAGAGTTGGCGGCGAGCTTGTCGCACTGGAGGCGTGGAAAGCAACAGTGAATGCTAAATACGGACCGAATGTGGAGAAGATAGCCGAGGCGGACGAGACAAATGATGAGCAGAAGGAAGAGGAATAGAATAGGAGAGCGAGAAGGAGAGAGGATAGGATGGGTAGGAGGAAGAGTGGGACAAATATTGCGAGGAAGAAGGGGGGTATCGTTTCTTAGTGCTCAATATCACGCTGCTCGTTACTTTACAGTTGTTGAGTTTAGTCTCGTTACACATTACACTAATTCTGGTATCTACGCTATCAAATTTGAACATGATTCTTCCTCTAGCAAACGCCAGTGGGGATAGTGAAGCCATCGCGACGGGCAGAAGAGCTGTAGACAGCATCAGAGCCCAGACCACGCTTGGCGAAGGCGGTCCAGAGCTCGCACAGGTTGGATCCGCCAGTAAGAGCCTTGTCGGCGTCGAGGATGGCATCACGAGCTTGGATGAAGTTGGGAGAGCAGGGTTGCCTGGTCTTGTTAGTCTATTGACCGGAACGAGTGGCAGTAATGGGGATACATACAGAGCCATACCGTCGAGGACAAGCTTCAGGGTCAAGTACTTGCCATCGGTGGGGACACCGTTGGCGTCGAACTCGGGCTTGGGGCCGTCGTTCTTGCCGTGCTTGTCGATGAGGTTCCAGAGGACCTCGTATAAAGTGGTGGCCCAGGTCTCACCGATGCGGTGGACGCTGGTGAGGCCGTTGATGGTGGAGTAGGTGTTGGGGGTGGTAGTCATGGAGGTAGAGTAGAGAACGGTGCGGATACCGGCAGGGTTGTTATAGACCCAGGCGCCCATGGCGTAGTCGGTAGCACGGGTGTCGGTGGGCTTAAGACGGATGGCCGTGGCGAAGAAGTCACCCCAGCCCTCACCCATACCACCGGACTCGACGGCGTTCAGGCAGTTGGAGTTGGCGGGACCACCGGTCAAGCGGGTGGACAGACCGTGGGTGTACTCGTGGATGACGACGCCGGCCTCGAAGCTGCAGTCGCGACGGGGAGTCGACTGGGTCCAGAGGTACATGCGCATGCGGCCGTTGGTGCCATCGGGAGGAGTAAGGAAATTGGCATTGTTGGTTCCGGAACCATCCTGGGCGAAGAGGACGACAAAATCGTTGCCGGCACCGCCCTTGCCCTGGTTGTTGATCTGGAAGTTACCAGCAGCCTCGGTGAAGCCGAGAGTGTACAGCAGGTCGTGGTAGTGGTTGGCGGTGTAGTAGAGCTGGGCGATGGAGGCATCGATGTAGGCGGATGGGGTGGTCAAGCTGGTAGAGTACTCGTAGTCGAAGTTGTACGAGGTGCTGGTCGGGCGGTAGTTGGTAAGGTAAGCAGTGCCACCGCTGGGGTTGGACTGAGCAATGCCGTTGTTGCCACGGGTGGTGGTGTAGTTGGCAGAGCCGTCGCTGTGCCAGGTCAACGGCGAGGCAGAGAGATCCCAGGGGTCGGTGACTAGAACGCGGTCGCCCTCGGTGGGATCGTTGACACCCCACGGGTAGACGCGGTAGTTGGCAAGATCGGAGACGTAGTCGACAACACCCTGAACCTTGGAGCCGGTGGCGGCATCGACATAGGTCAACAGCCAGTTCTCAGAGATGTCGGTCTCAACACGCCAGGACAGGGAGAGAGTCCCATCGGCCTGGATGAAGTAGACAAGCTTAGCCTCGGGGTCGGAAACAGCACCAGAGGTTCCCTTGATGGCATAAACCTCCGTGCCCTCCTTAGCCTCAGCGGTAGCAGAAGTGGCCTCAACGGGGAGCTGGAGAACATCCTTGGCACCGTTGAGAGCGGCAACGGGGTCCTTGAAGTCACGCTTCGTCAGGGGGCTGGCCTCGGGGAGGTCACCCTTGAAGAAGTTGTTGCCGTAAGAGAAGACCTTTCCATCCTTGCCAATCTAGATAGAACACGTCAGTCGAGTGATACCTACACCAAAGCAAAGGAAGTGTGTCTTACGTTGACGTTGAAGTCGGCGTTGTCAATATCAAGACCGTGAACAGTCTGCTTGAAGTTGACGTGGCCAATGCCGTTGGTTCCAACATAGTTGTCACCAACAACACGGAACTCAGCGTTGGGCGCAAGCTTCTTGACGAGCTCGGTGGCGGTGTCGACGTAGTTGGCACGCTTCAGGAGCGCAATGGGCGGGGTTGCCTCCGTCTGGGTAGCGTTGGTGTAAGAACCAAGCTGGGGAAGACGGAAGGCCTCGATATCGACGCCGCGGCGGCCGATGTTGTGGCTGGTGGCCGGGTGGGCAAAGACCTGCGAGGTTGGGCCCAGAAGGCCGATGAGGGCCAAGCTCTTCATGGAGCGATACATGGCGGGAAGGATGAGAGAGGTGCGGGAGAGGAGGGAACGAGGGGCTGGGGACTTGAGAGTGCCTAACGAGCTCCTTTCAAAACATCGAAAATCGAGGGAATCATGATCGATTTAAGTATCTCATGATCTTTGAGGCTCTGAGAGAGCTACCGTTGGACTCGAAGGGGTCGGCCTTCGTGTATCCCCTCGTGCCCCTCAACGCAGCCAAGGAGCTTCCTCTTCGGAGTTGCATGTTACCGAGTGCCCTGCTGCAGAGGCTGAGTTGCAATCAAGCAGTAAGACCAGGCAGGATACGATATGGGGCCTCATGATCGCTAGCTCTTGGTCAAAAGGACCACTCTACGAGACAATTGGGGCTCTATCCGGGAGGTTGTTGGCGATACGGGGTCCACGATACATGGCGAGCGCGACTCGATATGCTTGCGTGATCCGCCAGTGGTCCGGGGGCCGCATCTCCAATACCAAAGCTCGCGTTTATCGGATCTCTTCGTGAGAGAAGAGGGAAGGTCGTTTTCTTGCCATCCTTGATACTAGGCATCGGGAGGGTTACATTAATGCTTCGTTTGCGCCGTTGGCGTCTTGGCGACGGCTTAGCTTGCAGTTGTTTCTTGGCGATATGGGGGATTCGGCACTGAGCAGCAGGTGTTCGGGTTGAATTTCTCCATGCTCTCTGCGAACCCAGAGCGCCACCGTTCTAGAAATGTGCAACGGCGTAGACAAGACCGAACTTCAAGGGTCCAAGGATATTGGATGAACTATTCGTCATTGGCAGGTGGTTAGTAAGCTTCTCCTCCAACGTACAATCAATGCGGCTCAGAGATGGACGTCAAACTAACTAAAAGATAGAAACGAAAGCTTAAGCATAAACCGACTCGTGGTCATGCACAGCGTTGCACCGCGGGGGGGCCTCTCTCATCGCGTGCCTCTCACAAGCGCGGTGAGCGCAAAGAGCTCTATCACGTAACAAATAAACTCTGCAAATCATGTCGGAGAAAGGCCCCACAGAGCCCGCAACGGGATCGATACCTTAAACTGCAGTTCAATCTGCGCCACTAGCAGATATTCTCCAGGAAACTAACCATGGTCCTTTTGTCTGGTCGAGTCAGACTCAATGCCGCTCTTTTTCAGGAACCGCCGTTGATGCAACGCTTAGGTAGCTTAGGTAGGTGAGATTGGGAATGGATTAAGAACGAGTAGCTTGCGATTTTCCCCCGACTCTCCGAGTGACTCGCTATGACCAAAATAACTAACGCTTGCTGTACTCTTAGTGAGCGGGGGATGAGGGGGAACATGATCCCGGGCCTGTCAGCAATCGAACAATTATGTTGTCATGACAAGACCTCAGCTGCCAACTCTGGTCAATTCTGCATCGCATCTCAACGCAGAAGGTCGGAACCGCAAGGCAGACAAAATATCCGTACATTGTAACAAATTAACATGCTGTAGCAAAAGAACTTGCTCGTCGCGAGGGGTCAATAAGCTTCCATTCGCCATAAATAATCACTACGAATAGAGGAGGTAGTAATCTCAAAGCTTTACGCCTTGCCCGTGTCACTTTCTTCATGGAGGAGCACATGGCCAGAGCTTGCTGCACGTAGGCGGATACGGGAATGGGAAAATCGGGCAGATGAAGTGATCATCCCGCCGGCTGAGACATTTCGCCATTCTGGTTCATTCTTCTGTATTCGTACGAGATACGAGATATCGATTATCAACAGACTCGACTTCCTCAATCCTCCAGACCTACCATTTGCTACAGCGTTCAACCCCAAAGTTGACGGAGTTCAATGGGCCAACTCTTCCCCCCGGTCCGCGTGATGGTCTCGGCAGATGATGCCTGTATTCCCTGTCAGCATTAGCCGCAGACCTGCCTGTTCGGGGATCGCTCCGCTAGTGCAATGGGACGACCTTATCGATCTGGTCTTCATATCCGGGCGTGCCTTACATGGACCACCGCTCGAACCCCCAAAATCCCCTATTCCCGCATCAGCGCAGTGAGGCAACTTTCGGCTACCTGACTTGGGCAAGTGGAAGAAGGAAAATGTCAGGCTGTCAGCGCACCAGTCGGGGTTAAGACGGCTAATGGCACTTTCTGCTTAAAGAAGGCTATAGGATTCGTAGACTGCCATTCGACTAACGTGGTACCAAGCCATTAGCCAACAGTCGCCAAGAGGCTTAGACACTCGCTGTTGGTGTGAACCCGAACTCCTTCAAGAAGGCGGTTCGACGTGTCGCGGGAAGGCTCAACCACTCAGCTGAGCGGTTCGGTCCATGCCGAAGTGATCCATGGTGCGTTGATTAAATGACAGCTTGGGTGCAACGTATTGGGTGGTACGTGAAGTGTTGCTTGCGATCACGACGACATGGCTTGGCATAAGAAATGAAGCCATCGTATCCTGAAAAGGCACGTTGGAGATGGAAAATGTAAATGTTTGGGTTGCTTACGATTGCAAAAAACAATCATGCGAATGATTCCTCAAATAAAAGGTAATAACCCCCAATAATCCCGGTGGCAATTACCATCCTAGCAGAAAGCAAAGCAAAACTATAAGTATCAAATAGCACATGAAATCTGAATGTACAAGACCTAACGCCCCTATCGAACCTTACAAATCCTTCAGTAAACCACCGAGTAGTCCAATCAACCCTTCGGCAGTATCTTCAGATACCTTCGTCGATGCTCCGAAGACTCCGATGTCCATTGCACCCGCATTGATCGAGGCTTCAACATCGAGTGCGTCCTGTAAAACGTTAGATACCATGTTTTGTGATTAACTTCTAGCCAAATGGGGGCACATACTGGAAAGGCGTCTTTGACCGCATTGTTCTTCAGCCAGCGTGCCGAACACTCTTCGGCATCATTGCTGCTGCTGCTGCTGCTGGCTTCATCTGTCTCGCCGAGATTGTAAATTGGCTCCAGCGAAACGTTGCCGATCTCCGGCATCTCACTGCTGTCTTCACCGAGGTGGAGAAAGTTGACAAAACAATCGATCTCGAGCCCAGTCCAATCCTTGATCTCCCAAAGACCGACAGCTGCATGAGAGGAAATGTGATGCAAGTCCTCTTGAACATCCTTGGCAATCTGGAGGATGTCAAGATCTGCTGTCAGAGACACCTTGAGCGGCACCAAGTTGAGCGTGGGGAACGTGCTGGCCAATTCCTTGGTCGATGATCTGTTAGCATAATAGATACCAAAGACAATGTCTCTCGTTCCCTGACTTCTGAACTTTTGGAGTGCTTTTGCTGTGGCGGCGAAGAAAAGCGCCGGTAGTCCGACGCCGGCTTGGGCAGAACGTTTCTGGAGACGGCCAACTTCCGGGACAACCGAGCGTTTGAGAAGAGCAACTCGGCTCAATGAGACAGACTGATCTGCGTGACCATCGCTCGTCGACTGGCCAACACCGTTCAGATACTTGGACCAGAACGCCTTGTTGTTCTGCTTGACTTCAATCGCATGGCTCGAAGCAAGGAATGCCCTCCATGAACCCAGATCAACTACTATATCAGAAGCTTCCGACTGAATTGTTGCCTGCAACTTCTGCATGAGAGCCGGCAGGCTGAAGCCGTCGTAAAGAGAATGGTGAATACGTAACTTCAGTGCCCACGACTCGTTGTCTTCTTGCTTCGTACTGAGTTGCACTTGCGGGTAGCATTGTTTTGTTTCCGCGGTTGAACGTTTTCCATCAATGACAATCCGCTTGTGGGGTCCGTCAATTTCAGTCTGCAATATGATCTGGACGAAGGGGAGTGATCTTTCGCCAGTAGCGACCAAGCAAGTTCGGAGAATTGGCTCAGAGTCCACCACAGCAGCCCATGCTGACTGCAGTTGGTCAATCTTGACAGACCCCTTGAGGCGATAAAAGAATTCGGGATAGAAAACACGACCATTTGCGTTCTGCCACGCGGAGACCATGTAGACTTGCATTGGGAGTGGTGCCAAAATATCCTCGACACACGACTCGGGCAAGGCAGCATTGGAAAGCAGCGCTTGCGTGTTGATAGAAGTGGGTAGCTTGTATCTGGATGCAATACCCTGCGTTTCTGGTGCAGCATCAAAACTGGTAGGAGTAGCTTGGGCATGCCGGGCCATCTCCTTGATTGAGCTGGAAGTTAAGAGCGCGCGAACGCCAAGGTTGATACCCTCTTTGCGCAGAAGCGCCGCCACTTTGATGGCGCTGATAGAGTCTAGACCCAGGTTGTAAAGGGTGTGGTTTTTGCTGATTGACTGGACTTCTACATTCGCTGCTCGCGAGAGTACTCTTCGTATAGCGCTCTCATCTGGTGTCCACTCAGTATCATCTCCAGATGGCCTCGTTGTTGGTGTCGATCCCGAAGACGAGGGCGTCGTTGCTTTGGAGTGGAATCTTGGCAGTTGACAGATAGAAACCTGGTCACCCTCAAAGCGGAGAAGATTGTCTTCAGGTGTATTGACAATGAACATCAAAGATCTGTCAAGCTGATGAAGTAGCTGCTGCGTCATCTTTTCAGACACAAAGGCATTCTGTCCAGCAATGCGCCAAACAAGTGTATTGGGGGTGACCTCCAACTCAGCACAGACAGCGAAGTCGGTTGCGGAAGACCCCTGAATAGACTTCATGATCTGGACGTCGTCTGGTCCTGAGTTGGGGCTCTTCTGGAGGATGAAGAGAGTATTGAAGAGACGCCCGCCCGCAGCGCTCTGGGCTTTTCGCAGAGGGTAGTTCTGGAACTCCGTGATATCGCTCATCGTCTCTTGAAGGTAGCGCAAGAAGCTCGTAGTAGAGCCGTGGAGGAAGCAACGGACTGCTACAGTGTTCATTGTCGGGAACATCAGAGCTTGCGATTGTTCAGAGTCTCGGCCAGCAAGAACCACACCGAAAGTGACCTCAAGAGACTGGATCAAAGTCGCAACTACCGATGCCCAACACGCTTGACCCAAAACCTGCAAGCTGACAGCATAACGTTTGCAGAATGCAGTAACTTGTTCCTGCTTGATGCTAGAGATAGCTTCCGTGCGGTGAGTGACGTCCCTTGATAGCTCGTCAGAAGATTGCCTCTTGGGCAGCACAGACGGCTGAGTGTTTGCGAGATATTGAGACCAAAACTTTCTTGACTGGTCAGTTGGTGTTTTTATCAGGTTTCGCAGGAACGGCTCAGTTGGCGGGCGATCAACCGACTGGCCTCGATAGGCGGCAGCAATGTCTTGGTGTAGCAAGGCCAATGACCAGCCATCGTACAGAGCATGTGAAATCGATAGAATGAGCAGAGACCTCGAGCCCGTAGATAGGAGGGATAATTGAAGTAATTTGCCTTGCCCGTTCGCGGCTTGTGCAGTCTCCTTGTGGTGTTGGATGATGGTCTGCGGCTCGTTCTGACCATTTACTTCATACTTGCACAATGCCAGTAAGCAAGAATCTGACTTTAACACAACCTGGGCAAAAGTCTGCTTCACGTCCGGATCCTCAATCTGGACGAAAACGGTTCGCAGTATTGGTGAGCGTTCCACGGTCTGCTTCCAGGCCCTTTCAAATCTGTCAAGGTCTAGTCCATCGGCCAGCTCCAAGATGTCATGATTGAAGTACCGGAGAAAGTCTGACTGTAGCATGTCTCCCATCATAGACTCCTGCAGAGGGGTAGGAGGCAAGACAGCCTCCACGTTGTCTAGGTTGAATTGAGTTGCTTCCACTGCTCTCCATAAGTGACGCTTGAGCTCATCGAAGCCCGACTGGCCATCGACCTCAGTTTCAGTTGCCTTCTTATCCTTCAAGATTTTGGACATCGCAGCGATCGTTTGCGCACGCATAAGTTGAGATAAAGTGAGCTCATAGCCGATGTGTTTGAGCCTTGCAGAGAGCTTGACGAGATCAATGCTGTCAAGACCTAATTGAAGCAGCGCCATGTTCTCTGTGATGCTGTCTTCGGAAGCACCCGCCAGGGCGGCAATCTCCTTCCTCAAAGCCAAGGCAGTTGAGTTCCACTCAAAATCTGACAGGCTCAAGTCGAGCTGGTAATCTTTCGAGATCTCCCCATCAACGGACTCCGGTCTTGAAGTCAGTGGTGTGCGGGGAGATGCCGCTGTTGAAGCCTCCCTGGAAGGATTCGCGGTAACAGGCAAGGAATGAGTGGCCCTTGATGTCACGTCGACCATGGCGTCATCAATCTCTTCAAACAAAGAGCTCATCGTCAATTCGTCGGCTACATCTCTGTGCGCGACAATCTGGATGCGCAACTGGCCGTCTGGGGTCGCGGATGCTTCGAAGGCCAGCGGGTAGTCAGAAACACTGTAGTCGTCCATGACGGACCACATGCCAGATGGCTCTGTGGATGGAGGTGCCTGGATCTGGAACACGAACAGATTCTCGAAGATGGGACGGCCTCTAGACTTTGTGCACCATTTTTGAATGTTGCGTAGCGGCACGTGCTGGAATTGCAGCACGGAAGTGTTGAACTCATGACATTTCTGGATAAGGGATAACCAAGTGTCACCCTCTTTGAGGCCAGCATAGAATAATAGTGTGTTGAACAACGGGCCGATGGTATTCTCAATCTGTTCCAGATCAATAGATCGGCCAGAAACAATGACTCCAGTAGCAGCGTTGCCTGGAAAGTGCTTTTTGATGACAGAGGTCCACAGTGCAAGCACAACCGACTGCAGGGTGACGTTCAGAGATCTACGCAACGTCTCCAGATTGCGTGCCGAGTAAGTCTTGGTCTTTGTGATGATAGCAGCAGCATCTCCTGAGCGCAACCTAGGAAGGGTATCGAAGGAGCAGTCACTCAGATGCTCAACCCAGAACTGGCGGCTAGAATCGTAATTTGCCAAAGGACCATGAGCGAGGGTGTCTAGAAAAGATGGAGGTGTCTCGTGTTCTTGGTTCAAATACTCAGCAGACACCCATCGAAGCATGGATTCGAAGCTTGAGCCGTCGTACAGCGCATGGAAGATGTGAACAACAAGGACAGTCTCCTCGCCCAGTTGAGTAACAATCAGCTCCAGAGGATTCGAAACATTCCTGCTGTTCTGATGTATTAGGTCTGGAAGAGCACTGGAGAGTAGTGACTTGAGCTCGGCGGGGCTACGATCACGGAAATCTTTCCATGAGAGCTGAGATGACTTGACTGCGACTTGAGCAAAACCAGCAGGTGTTTGGATGAAGCTAGTTCGTAAGATCGCATGCGCTTTCACCATGTTCTCACAGGCGCTCTTGAGCTTGGCAATTGATACTGCTGGCGCAAGCTTGAGGCGGAACGCAGTGAAGTAGGCACCTTCGTCCTGATCTGACATGAAGCGCGAAAGCATTCCTTCTTGAAGAGGCGTGCATGGTGCAACGTACTCGATGTCTCGATCATCTGTCAATCCAAGCTCTTGGACGGCCAAGGACCGGTATCTGTGTTCAAATGCGTGAATGAGCTGGCGTGCCTCTTGGACACCACTGCTTTCATTCGAAGACTGACTCTCTTGCAGAGTTTCGGCCAGATCTCCCAGACCTGGGTTTCGAAGAACGACCTGGGGCGACGCTGCAATAAGACCATTCTTGCGCAACTGGCGTGACAACCTTAGGGCTGAGATAGAGTCCACGCCGAGGTCAAAAATATTGCTCGATAGAGATATGTTCGTGTCATCTCCCAGGAACTCTCTCGTCGTTGATAGGACCAGGCGCTGAGTGTCATTGACTGGCTCAGAAGCTGCGCTTGAAGACGGTGACAGTCGCACCAATTTCTCAGGGGTGAGCGTGCGGAAAAGTTGGTTGAGCTGCTTGATGTCTGCCTTATTGTTTGGAGAAAGAGGTATTCTTGGAACCTGGAAGATGTATGAAGGAACCATGTATCCCGGTAGAGTGTCTCTGCAGGCTTTCCGGACAGAACGGACGAGGGCTGCGGTATCTGTTCCACTCAAGACCTGCAGTTCGTTCTTCGAAGCACTCGTTGACTTGCAGCTGAAAAACGTGACCAAGAGATCCTTGTCGAGACTGCCGTGCTTGGTCACCAAAGTAGCGACATCGCTAACCTGACGAACCCGAGTTCGAATCGAGTGGTTAATCTCCCCTATTTCCAGGCGTTGACCTCTCAGCTTGACTTGGTCATCAGCACGGCCAAGGAAGTCAAAACAGCCATCGTGTAGTACTCTGACCAGGTCTCCGGTGCGGTAGACACGTTCACCATGTCTTTCCAGAAAGGGGAATCGTTCCTGAGTCAATTGCGGTCGCTTCAAATAACCCTTGCCAACAAGTTTTCCGGAAACACAGAGCTCTCCAACACCCCCTTTCATGACCGGAATGTCCGTGCCTGGATGCAACACGTATGATCCAACGTTGTCGAACTGTTTGCCAATATTCAATGCTCTGCCGTTCTGTGGTACACGTTGATACATGGTGACCCCGATTGTTGCCTCAGTCGGACCATATGCGTTGTAGATCACACCAATAGGGCCCCAAACATCAAGAATTTCCTGTTTGAGAGCCTCTCCTCCAGTGATGAAGACTCCTCTTGACAGACTTGGGACCTCAACTGGATCAAGAAGACGAGCCAAGCTGGGCGTCAAGTCAATGTGCGTAATGCCGAGGCGCTGAATCGTACCGGCAAGGTCGTCAAGAATCAGATCTCTGGGCGCTCCGACCAGAGTCATCCCCACCGACCAACTCCAGTACTGTTCTAAAACAGACACATCGAAGTGGAACGATGCGAACTGCAACCATTTGGACGTCTCATCCCAGTGTCCATCAAACAGCCTCTGGAATGCCTTCATGGCCTGGACTGCGTTCTCGTGAGTTATCTCGCATCCTTTGGGTGTCCCAGTGGTGCCAGAAGTGTACAGACAATAAGAATTGTCTTGCACGCTCAAACCTTTCGGGGGATTGAATTGTCTTGGCTGGTGACTCAGTGCAGTGTCGTCTATATGAATGATAGGCTGCTCGACGGCAAAGTCGATATCAACATTAGTCAATAATACCAAAGCGCCAGAGTCTTTGAGAATGAACTCCTTTCTCGCTTTGGGAGCCGACGGGTCCAAGGCTAGAAAAGCGCAGCCTGATTTGAGAATTCCAAGAATCGCAAAGCAGGCCTCCGGGCACTTATCAAAGTGAATTGCGATAGTCTCGCCGACTTTTGCGTGAGGTAACAAAACATGCGCGACCTGGTTTCCCTTCTCATTGAGTTCCCGGAAAGACCATTGTCTAGAGATAGGAGTTTCGCCATTGAAACCGGTCACAAATTCCAGGGCAATCTTGTCAGGATGAGTCTCAGCCTTGGTCTCGACAAAGCTGTGGAGGAAAGGTTCGTTGGAATGAATCGTAGGCTCCAGGGGAGGTATAATGGAGAAAATCGACGGATCAGTGGTCCATAGGTCATCTGCCGTCTGCTCGGGGCACTGGACGAGATGCCTTAGCACTGCGTCGAATTGGTCCAGCAAATAAATTGCTTGAGTCTTGGGCAAAATATCGGTTTTGAAGGACAGACGCAGTTGGATCTTGCCTTCGGGAAGCGGTTCGACTTCAAACGAAACTGGATAATCCAAGTTGCCCTCATCGCTGACAACTTCCCATGGGAAACCGGGAGCGTCGTCAGTTGGCATTCGTTGATACACAAGTAGGGTATCAAATACTCTCGTGTTTGGATATCCAAGCCATCTCTGAACTTGTGCCAAAGGGGCATTCTGATGCTTCAGAAGCTGATTGTTGTAGTCAAGCATCTGTTGAACAAGCTCAGAATTTGATGATCTGTTGTGCGCGATGACAGGCAGAGTAGTGATGCATGGGAAAACGATGTTCTTTGTCTCATCGCTTAGGCGACCAGACAAGACGATGCCGAACACTACATCTTCTTCGCCTAGATATGCGGACAAGATACGAGTCCAGGTGGCTTGCAGGACACCCTGAATTGATACACCGAGCCTCTTCGCGTTTGCGGACAGTTGGGTGAAGTCCACACTGGAGAATCTTTTTACAGCCATCGATTCCGGAGACTTTTCCGTCAGGGGCGTCAAGGTAGGGAAACGGTTGACGACAACTTGAGCAGTCTTTTGCTTCCAGGAAGTTTCTGCTTCGCTAGTATCAAGAGAAGCCTGAAGGATTTCCGAGAGACCATTCTCAATAGACAAGTGTTGGACCATGGGTCTTCCGGAGATATATGATGACAGATCCCGAAGAAGCAGCTGCAATGAGTATGCATCATAGAGCGCATGGTGAATTATCAGATGCATTGTCACGCCCGAGGTCGCTGATTCGAGAGCTAAGGCCCAAGGGGGTTGCTCCATTGAGCTCAAAATTTCGTGCGCAGTGTCTAGTTTCCACTTTGTGACACTGAACGACTCGGGCGCATTATTGTAAACCGTGAGACGAAGGTGGCAGCGTGTGGACGGGATCTGCACCATTGCAAAAGAGGCATCTCGATGTTGTGTGGAGATGAACCCTGTCCTCAGGATCTCATGGTGGTCGAGCAAAGCAGTCCACGCCTTCTGAAGTAAATCAACAGAAATGTCTTCGTTGAGCGCAAAAGACATGTAATTGAGGTAGTCTTTACCCTCTGACTGGATGAAGTCGTTCAGCATAGCGGATTGTAAAGGCGAACATGGTAGGATCTTGTCGAATTCACCAGCCGAAGAGTCCCTGACTTCTCGGTCGAATTTCGTAAAGTTATATTGACGGGTATTTTTCGCGGGTACAACGTGTAGTCGAGTGGCCAGTCTCGCACAAGTAGGGAATTCGATGACGTCCAAGGCAGACAACTCCAGACCTCTCTTGCGCATCATGGTTGCAAGTTGTACTGCATTGATGCTGTCAAGGCCTAGCTGGAAGATGGTTGTGTTTCTGCGAATGTTTGAGGCTGGAACCTGCGAGAGCTCGGAGATGATCGATCGGAGCTGGTCTTCATCTTGGCTCCACTCTTCGGTGACGGAAGCTACGTCTGCGTCTGATTTCTCAGTTTTCTCTGAAATCTTATCGACTTTGAGACGTTCAAGGGCCCGCCTTGTCCCTGGCGCCAAATGATCTCGCGTAGGAATACTGGAAGCAGGGTGGGTCGCTATGTGCTGAGCAACAAACAAAAACGTGTCGAGCAGTGCAACGGCTGCTTCTTGTGTCATGAAAGGACTACACTTGAGGTCAGTCCCCCCTTCTTTATGCCAGCTGACGGTCCGGAACATACCTGTTAGAGTGAAGTGTAACGATCATCAGGTCACGGACCGGAGACGGGACCAATTCGCAAACGAGAGGTACCTGTACATTTTTCATCAGCTCTTCCTTCCCTCGCAAAAATTCGATCGCCCACAAAAATTAACACTTACATCCATGGTTCCATTATCCTCAACTAGTTCCCAAATACCAGAAGAACGATCTGGTTTCGGTTGCTGAAGGAGGAGAAGAGAGTCAAATAGCTGTCTACCACTCTTCGAAACCTGGTTTTGAATTGAACGCAAGGGGGTAAACTGATGCTCCAATAGACGAGGATTGATGTTCTGGAATGTCTTGAGAAGCGCCGCGCTTTCCGTTGATAGGGGGACTTCAACTCTGACAGGCAAAGTATTGAAACAGGGAGCGACTAAACGGTCAATGCCATCCACTGCCAAAGCCCTGCCGCTCATGACGTTTCCAAAGCAAATATCTGACTCCTCATATACCAGAGTTAGGAATACAGACCATGCTGTTTGGAAGTAGGATAGCACTGAAACACCCAAAGTCTTGCATATAGCTTGCATTTGGCCGAGGGACATGACAAGCGGCTTCGACGTGACAATAGTCGTGGATGATCCAGGAAGTTGAGAGCCCCCAGCTGAGAGAATGTGCTGAGTGGGCTTGAAGGCTTCGAAGTGGCTCTTCCAGAAACTGCTTGTTCCGTCGGGTGATTGAAGAATCTCTGCAAGAATAGGCTCGTACTCCAATGGAGCCGGGAGAGTCTTGCCGGCTGCGAGCAGCTCAACCTCCGCAAGAAGTGCCTCCATTGCCACGCCGTCATAAAGAGCATGGTGGCATGCAAATGAGAGATAGACATCTCCTGCTACCCTGAGGATAGCGAGTGAAAGTGGTGGGATTTTTGAGTCCACTGCACCGGGCAACCCTTCCACGTGTTGACTGGCTGCTTCTTCTAGACTGTCTACCTCGATCAGGCCCCACGTCATGGGCACAGAGTCTAACACAACTTGCGCAACGGCACATTTTGAGTCTCTAGTCGACACAAAACAGGTCCGAAGAATGCCATGCCGGTGGTGCATATGCTTCCAGTGCCCCTTCATGTCTGTATCAGGAATATGTAGTCTGAAGATCATCTGGTTTGAGTAGGATGACCCCGTCGTTGACGAAAGCATGGCCTCTTGAAGCGGGGTGCACGGTAGAACTGAAGAAACCTGTTTTCCCTCTTTCGCGAAGTCTCGCTTTACTTCGTTAACGAATTCCCAAGGTAACGGCGTGGAGACACTAGAAATTGTGCTTGAGGAGGTAATTGGTGTATTGGCAAGTATCTCCTGGGCCAAGCGAGCTATGCAGCCTGTCCGAAGGATCATCGAAACCGGCACCCTTCGGCTGAAAGAAGCTTGTAGAGACCTAGCGAGTGAAATTGCGAATATAGAGTCTAGCCCAAGAGCAGAAAAAGGCTGCCATCGAGCAATTTCATTTGCTGCTACATTGGTTGTCTGGGACACCGCCGCTCTGATTGTTCGTTCCTCATCAGACCAGAACTTTTCATCTTCCTTCTGCTGGAGAGAGCCTGCAGCACGGCCGACGTAGTTCCGATCTAAGACGCGGAAAATTGCTTGAAGCCTGGCTTTGTCGACCTTGCCACTAGACGTCAACGGCACAGAACTTATTGGGACCAGGTAGCTCGGGACCATGTAGGCGGGTACGCGTGATCTAAGGAGGCTGAAAAGGGTGTTGTTTGCTTGGAACAGTTCTTCGTCGATAGGCAAAGTCCTAAATTCAGCATGGGATTGTTGCGCGGGTACATAGAACACAGCTAATTGAGACGCGGTTGTAGTTGCGTTGCTGACGATGACTACTGCGCTTGACGTAGCAATGCTTGAATTCGTGAGGATGCTGCCGATTTCGCCAGTGTCAATCCGCTGTCCGCGTAGTTTAAGTTGGTCATCCATTCGTCCAAGTACCATCAAGGATCCATCTGCAAGCATCCGTCCCATGTCGCCTGATCGGTAGATTCTACCGAACTGCGGGTGCTCGAGGAACTTGGACTCAGTGAGACTCTTCATCCCTAGATAGCCAGCTGCAACTTGGTCTCCTCCAAAGCAGAGCTCGCCGACACAGCCAATGGGAACTGCTGCGTTCGCTGTAGAGGCGAGAACAAAGGTTGAAGTGTTGTCAAATGAGAACCCAAGATGGTCGATGAAGTCTCCAGGCTTCATCCTCTTGACGGTGCAAATGTTTGTGGTTTCAGCTGGGCCATATCCTACAAGAGTGATTAGCTCAAGGTCAAAGCCTTCAAAGCAGTGTGAAGCATACCTTGATATAGGAAGCCGGTCCATTTCTCTGCAACATGTGCAGTCATGGGTTCGCCGGCAGTAGCGAGGAAATTAACTGCGGGCACATTGCGAGGGTTGACTAAAGAAGCAACCGTCGGGGTCATGCTGAGATGAGTGCATCCCAAAAACTGGATGGCACGCTCCAAGTCCCCAAAAAGGGTATCGTTGGTACCAGAGCACAAACATGCTCCAACCTTCCAAGTAAAGAAAATCTCAAAGACTGAGACATCAAACGCCTGTGAACATGCTTGCAGGAAACGAGAAGCGTTGCTATGGGGGTATATCCTGGACAAAACATCCAGGTTGCTCATGATGTTCTTCTGTGTGACTACCACGCCCTTGGGTGTGCCTGTGGTTCCAGACGTATAGATGACATACGCTGGTCGCGAAGGGTCTACCGACAGGCTCAAATTATTCTCCGTGGTGCCAGCCGAGTCGATTGACAGGGCGTCCACAAATTGACAATTGGAGAGATCGTCTAAAGTTGATGAGACGCCCGCATCGGCAACACAGACTGTAACCTCTGCTTGCGTCAAAATGAGCCGGATTCTGTCATTCGGGGTAGTAGGCAGGAGAGGCAAGTATGCGCAGCCAGCCTTAAGAATACCCAGGATGGCGGCATACAAGCAGATTGATTTTTCCATAATTATGCCCACAATGTCGCCCTCTCTCGCGCCTAGCTGATGAAGATGCCTCGCGATTTTGTTAGCCGAGGTATTCAGGCTGCTGTACGATATGGTCTCAAAATCTCCTTCGTCAAGAGATCTTGCGAATCGGATGGCTGTGGCATCGGGTGTGACAATTGCTGTGTGCTCAAACATTGCCGCTAGGTCCGGGACCGTGGAGAGAGTTGCAGGATGGACGTTGAAGATGGAAGTGAGCCCTGGGGACAGTGATTTTCCGATAGTTTCCACTTGGCTTTGAGGCTCTAGTATCAGGTGTGAAACCACCGAGTCCAATTGTTCCATCAAAATCTTGGCGTGTTCTGTGGTAAATGCGGTGGTGTGGTATGTCAGGCGACAAACCAAGCTCTCGGCGGAAGGCTCAACTTCAACCAGAAGGCTGGTCTCTAGAAAGTCCTGATGAGATATTTCCCGAACATAGCCATGTTTTGCTTGCTGACTGTAGAGAGACTCTTGGTAGACGAACAGCACATCGAAGAGGGCATCTCCGAGGTTCACGCCTGCGATTCTCTTGATGTCTGCCAACGGTAACACGCCGTGTTGTAGCGTGCCACGGTTCATACCCTGGATGTGGCGAACGAGGTCGACAACTGTCGCAATCCCGGCGAAGTTGACTCTCAAAGGCGTTGTCGTGATACAAGGTCCCATGATGCGCTCAATGCTAGTTACCGGAATGGTCCTGCCTGACGAGACTGAGCCAATTACAACATCCGTCTGTCCTTGCAACCCGGCCCAAAGCCATAACGTAGCAGCTTGAAAGAAAACTTGAGGATGGCATTGAAGCCGTGTTGCGGTCTCCTCTAGGGCGCTTTGCGAAATGTGCATCGCTCTAACTGCAGTCTGAGTCTCGACGGTATCAGCAGGGCGACCCATTAGACGCGGTAGATTATGTCGTTGCCAACCAAGCAGATGATCCGCCCAGAATTCACGCGCCTCATCCATGCGGCCTCTGTTAGCAGGTTCCGCGTAAAATCTGGAAACGTCTTGGAACTGCGGTCTGATTTCGGGTATTCCACCGTCGGCCATTGTGGAAAAGTCTTTGATCAACATGTCGGCTGACCATCCGTCGTAGAGGGCGTGATGCATATGGAAGAGCACAGTTGGCCCAAGACCTTGTTGACTTTCCAGAATTTGGACTCTGAGAGGACGCAAGTAATTCTCATCAGAAGCTAGACAATAACTCTCGTCCAGTTGGGGGACAACTTGAACAGAAGACTGAGGAAGCTTTCTGTAGACGATTTGTGCGAACTTATCATCACACAATACGAACCCTGACCGTAAGATCTCATTGTTCTGTGCAATCTGGTAGGTCCACTGAAAAATTTCCTCCGTCGTAGTCTTTGCCGGAAATCCAAGCTTGATCCAGTTGCAATAGGCCTGAGGATTGACAGATGTCTCTGCTAGCATTGAATTTTGCAGAGGTGTGCACATTTGAAAGCGTGCGATGTCGTCTCTCAGAGAAGTCAGGTCCGCTCGTTGCTCCAGCACCTGGTCGATGTGTATCTCACAGGGATCCTTGAGGCCAAGCACGCGGTCTTCTTGGTCTGCTGTCGAGGTTGATCCCGATGCTTGTACAGAGGTGAACAGGGCTGAAAGAGTCTTGGAATTGAGGACGTCCGTTGCTGATGTTCGAAAACCGCCTTCCCGTAAAGCTGAAGCAAGTCTGATAGCCTTTAGAGAATCAATGCCTAGGGATGCAGGCGAAGCCGACGGAGAAATTTGAGAATCAAGAAAGTTTGATACAATTGACAAAACTTCCTGTTCTAGTGGGCTGGCCGCTTCGAAGTGGCCTTTGGGTTGCGATGGTGTCGGTATCGTCGTTGTATACTCGTTCTTGAGTTGTTTCCGGTCCACTTTGCCTGAGGGCAACCTTGGGAAGCATGTCTTGATGACGATGTCACCGGGGACCATGAAAGACGGGAGCCATGTACGGCAAGTGTTGAGAATGTCTTCCACATAGTCACCCGGGGTAAATCCTTCATCAATGGCGCAAAAAGCAACTAGAATCCCACCGAGGACCATGGCAACAGCACTGTGGCAACCGGTGGTCCGCATTGCCGCTTGCTCCACTTCGCCGAGCTCAATTCTCTGGCCGCGCAGCTTGACTTGCCCGTCTGATATCCTCCCAAGGCAATCCATAGTTCCATCTGAATTTACAATGGCTTTGTCTCCGGTGCGGTAAACGCGGCCGTAAGGAGTGTCGATAAATGCCGCATCCGTCTGTTCTTGCCTGTTGAGATAACCGTTGGCGAGTTGATATCCTCCTACGACAAGCTCCCCGAGTTCCCCCTTCGGAAGTATGCTGAAGTTGAAAGGGGCGCCGTCTTCGGGGATAGCGACGACAAAGCACGAGACTGAATCCAGAGGAAATCCGATATTCGAAGAAGAACAAGCCGTAGGGTATCTTGGTCTAAGTGTGCTACGAAGCGTTAGTTTTCACGGCGCCAATACAGACATGCAATGACTTACCAGTGAATTGCAGCCTCGGTTGGGCCATACATGCCCCATAGCATGCTGTCCGAAACGTCGCTGCCGCCAAACTCGCGAATAACGGACTCTGTCAACATCTCACCAATCGTCAGAAGGAGCTTTAGACAAGGAGCGTTCTGACGCGAGCGAAGGAGACTGCCAGCGACTGTAGGCGTCAACTCGCATGCATCGACCTGCAAAGTCCTGATGACATCAGGAAGATCGTTAAGCATGCGACCACGATCGCACGTAACTAGTGTTGATCCACGAAGAAGAGGGAAGAAAATTTCGAATACTGATACATCGAACGTCGGCGAGGCAAATTGAAGGAAGCGCCTGAATCTGGGAATATGTCGATCATGGGCGAGAAGACTCTGTGTTGCAGCGTCGTGCGAGACTCCGACGCCTTTTGGCGTGCCGGTTGACCCAGAAGTGTACATGACATAGGAAAGATGTTGAGGCTCAACATGCCTGATTGGGAGACTCGGCGATGAATTCGGATCATCAGTGACCTCTTCGTCGACGACTAAGACAACCCTCTCTGGATCGTCTCGGGGGATCTTTGATACCAAGTCTCGTGTGACAAGAACAACTTTCGCCGATACGTCTTGAAGAATGAATCTGACTCTCTCGGGAGGTGCATCTAGATGCAAAGGGCAAAAAGCACCGCCGGCTTTGAGGATAGCCAGCATCGCGATATAGAGATGTGAGCATTGGGGGATGAGTATCGGTATAACAAAATCATCCGACGCGAAGGATATCGCAGCCAAACGAGAGATCCGAGCTGCTAGGGCATCCGCGGCATCATGGAACTGAGCGTAGGAGAGAGTCGACTCTTCTCCATGGCTATTGAGTGAGTGAATCGCTGGCAGCGATTCATCTGATGTAAGCTGCACAAGCTGGTGAAGGAGGCGAGGTCCCGGGGCCCGAGTTGGATGAGGATTTAGGATAGAGAGCTGAGGCTCCAGCTCAGCGTCGGTCATGTTGGCCTCGTCGTCTTTCAACAAGAAAAGATGCTATTCCCAAAGTGATGAGAAATTCTCAGTAGCTCTTCTACAAAGCTATGGGAAGTGGTTCGATGCACAAAGCCCTTGGTAAACCATAGCATTACAAAGGGTATCCAGGTATTAGTCGGGGCCCTCTTTTCAACGGGAAGGGCACGACGGTCAATGCGCCCGAGTCCAGATCAAGATGGACCTGCAGCTAGAGGTCCAAGAGACCACGCGCTGGGACAGGTCTTCGTCCAATAAGACAAGTGATGATTCACAGATCCGGTCATGTAACGGCGTGGTTCCTCAGTTGGGTGCTGGGCAACATGCCATGGGGGTAATGCGAGGGGTTGACACGGGGTCGGCTGCAAGTCTCTTGGCCTGTAAGATTGCAGCAATTACTCAGCCTGTGGGAAACGTCGAGCGATTCTGCAGCACAATCCAGAAAGGTCGCCAGAGCTTCGTGTGTCGATGATGAAATATGGAATCGTTCATTCGTGGATGATGACGGCGTGTTGGCGCGAGCTGCCTAGCTCAAGACGGCTCGGCCCTGTGCGTAGGGCTATCTGTGACCTGTGCGTATGTCGGGCGTGTGACAACTCCCGGTGCGACGGTAGACTGACAAGGAGATACCGGAGATGAGGAGCGCTGCAGAATAAAGATATGGATTGTTGGTAATCTACCACTGCTTGTCTCTTTGTATGGGCGTATATGCGTGTGTGTGCGTACCTATGTGCGTGTGTGTCCGCTGGCTGAAGAGCTTTATCAGAAGCGCAGACTAGACAAGCTACCGCGCTTGCAGCACACAAAGGAAACGACCAAGAGACTCCCCCGCCCACCCCGAGCGGATCCTGATGTGGCTGACGGGGGGCAGCGTCAGGTGTGCTGGTCGCTTTGGGCGACTTACACACAAGTTCCTGGTCACCATCCGTAAGCTTGAATGGTTATGACTTATGAGATATTCATCCCACGCTCCTTTCCAGGTTTGTGGCAGGATGGACAGGTTTGAGGCCAGGCATCGGCCCTCCAAATCACTGAAAGGGAGGACCCAGATGACGGGGGGCATTTCCGGCGCTTATGGCGTCATGGCTTAATAGAGCTCGCCGCGCTGCCCGAGGGCGAAACGCCGCTCTTTGCTACGATTTAAGCTTCGACGGCCCGTTCAGTGCTCTCTGGCTGCCTCAACCTGGACAGCGTTTACTCGGATGTGTAACGTAAGACCGGAAGTCTGCAGACACGACTACCGCTGCAGTGGCGAGCCTGCACGGCATGCCGATGGCCGGCAGCCTTATCCGATCTTGTGGTCAGGCAAAGCTCTTGACAGCTGCTGTGCACTACGGAACCCGTTGTTCGACATGCATCCCCGTCCGCATTTGAATCAAGCGGGAGCCATGTTGCCGCTTCCGAGGAACTGGTTCTGGCGGGAAAAACGGGTTTCAAGCTTGGCCGGCCGGCGGCCGTCTCCGGTCAGAAAGGTCGAAGCCTCATGGCTTGTAGCTGCTCATGTCTCACGCTTCACTACCAATAACCCACGACGGAACTTCCAACGTCGGATGAAGGCACGCCAGGCTCGGATTAAACATGTGCTGGGGTTCTGCAGAGATGCACAAGCATGGCGCGAGATCTGACGGCGCATCCAGAACAGGCCAGTTTCCCCCAGACGCCACGCCATGATCCGCGTCGATGCTCGGCCATGTTCGCGGCTGCTGGCCGATCTCGTCTGACTGCCGGACAACGGTTTCTACAAGCGGCAAACTCTCCGGGCACTTGCCTCTGGAATTCATCAAGAGGGCGGTACGGAGGGCGGTGGCGCGGGGCTCTTTTGGGGAACCACTCAACCACCATATCACTGGTGACTGGCCGAGACGACAAGATGGTGGTGGGAAGAAGGCATCTGGCTGGTCAGATTTTGCCCACACATAGTGGTTTTATCTGGATCGCTTCGTCTGGTGTGGTATCCACAGGTAGGCATGAGCCGACGGGATGGTATGTACCGTGATCAGGAAGCATATGTTATTAATTAGGTTCGTTCCATATGCGCGCTGAGGCAAGTCGGAGCAACAAGCTGCAATAGTGGCCTAGCATGTTTGTGTCTCGATCTTTGGATGCGACAGATGGATTTGGAGAAAGACCCTGGCCAAACATAGGCGCCAGAAAGAGAGGCCAGTGGAGAAAGAGTCGCCATCTGGCCGTGGGGTCACTGCCAGTTTGTCACAGGTTTGCAGTCGTGTCACGTCCCTGGCCCGTCTGCGCGGAGGGGCGATGTATCGCTGCAAGAGCCAAAGACGCGAAGTGTGGCCCAGATGTGGGGGTAGACTGAGTCGAAGGCAGTACGTAATTCGGCATCGGAAAAGAACGGCCAGTGCCTTTGAAGACCGGATTAGAGGGAAAGGAGATATCCCACTCAGGGCCTACAAGAAGGTCTAAAGAGGCCAGCGCTGAAGTGAGTACGCGTCCATCGATGGTGAGGACAGGGTGAGGCAGTCTCGAGAATGCGGTCAAAAACTGGCGGTGGTCAGCATACTGATCTTGGGAATGTCCTGGGAGGCAATGGTTGGGGTTCAGGTTCGAAAGAGTCAGAAGGAGCCGGTCAGACGTCACAGGAGGCTGTCTGGATTCTGCAGTCTGCAGCTTGGTGGGCATCCAGCGTCCAGGTCCCAGCGGCGATGCCCCAATACCCGTCGTATCCCTCCTTCGGAAACATGGCGACTCGGTGGGCTAGGGGATGGGACGGACACTTGGATGATGTCGGTGGATGTCGCCAGCGCGTCGTGGTGGATGGATTGGACGGGCCCAGGGAAGAGAAAGTGTGGGTGGATAGGTGGATGAATGCCGCAGGACACGGCGAAAGGAAGTCCAGGTTGACTACCTACTCGACTATGGACTGGATGGTATTCCCGGGTGCGAGAGAGGCGGCGGGATTGAGCCATACCCGGTGGTTCTTGGTCGGCAGTCAGCGGTGTTTGTGGTATTGAAGAAATGAGGTTGGAACCTTGGTATTCCGCATACCTCAAGATGGCGAGAGTCTGTCTGAGTGAGGAGTAGCTGCTCTGGTGCAGAGTGAAAGCGAGGCATAATGACTAAGTGCAAAGTTGTTTATGCAGTGTGCGTGCGAGATGCCCCGTCAGGCTGGGGAATACCTAAGATACCTATCCGTACGAATACTCCGTACTCCTGGCGTATTCCGTACCTTACCTACCTACACAAGAATAAGAACAAGAACAAGAAGGCACAATCATGCAGAACTGCTGAATAGACTAAGGTGCCTGGTGAATGCTGCGGGCGAGTTTCGGCAGGCGGGCGGGTGGGAATCCATGTGAAGAGATTTTCCCACCTTCCCTGTCTTGACACTTCTTGCCCGGTTCAGACGATTTCGGAGGGACATCCCAGAGTGACTTCCTGCTTTTCCAGTTCCCACCCAAGGTACTCCGTAGCACGGTAGGCATCTTCTCTGGTTTGGCGAGTGCTCCTGCTGGCTACTGCTGCTCCTGCTCGGGGTTGCTTGTTGTCGGGTCCCCGTTTGCCCCGACGGCACTTTCCCATTCGCAGCCAACTGCAGTCGGGTAAGGTACGACTCGCAAGTCTGCACCTGCGGGCCTGCTCAGATTCGTGGTGACCTCGGATGGGTGAGGTAACGTATCCAAGTTAAGGTACATGTGCATCCGGCGTGCCATGGAACGCCAACCTCGTGCTCATGCCCATGCCGCTTGTCGAATTTTTCTTCAGGTGCCGTTCCCCTGCCTGCCTGTCACTGTCTGCCTGCCCGCTGCCCCCTCCCTGCGTCCGTCGTTTCTTGTCATTGTCACTGCCCTAGGTACTTTGGAGAGGTAGTTTACTGTGTACGGATACATACCAGGTAGTCGACGGATACCCGTGCTTAATTTACCACTCACAGATGCAGGAAAAGGCTGTGGATGATCGCCAGTGGGTGCGTGGTGGGTTTGACGCTAAATATGCCATGGAGTTCGCGGATTCCTCATCCATGGGGTGGCTCTTAAGTCCCGTCCTGGCAGGGAAAAAGCCTCGTCAGGACCAGGGCTTAGGTTCATCGAGGGTCGGACGGGGGCCATCGTGGCATCGTCACTGGGCCCAATACAGCAGGTACGTACGCCTTACCTAATTAGACCCGGATCTTATCAGATTTAGATAATCAGATCATCAGATAACTCGGGCAAAATGATGCCAACCGCGCAAAAAATTCCCGCAAAACCAGCAAAACCGCACAACCACCTACCTTACACTCAGCACACCCACCCAATGTGCCAATCTTGAATGAGGTGGTCCCGTCCCAGGCTAAAAACCCCACTGCCGCAAACTCCGACGAGGCGACATATCCTCGGTTGACTGCTCTCAGCCATTCGTCTTTGTCTTCCCCTTCCTCTCGATTTTATTTTTCTTTTTTTTCCCCCCGTTTCCAATTCTCTGTGCGGCTCATTGGCATATCGTGCCACAAATTTAATACACCTCCCAGCCGCTGCAAAGCCATGAATCACCTCAACGCTCGCCAATGGATCCGGGGGGCTCTTGCGAGAAACCTCCAGTGTTTCCCCATATTCCCATCGCCCACGTTGTCGCCCGCAAATCTGGCTGTCCAGAGCTGCCCAATCTCCGCCTCGACTCCGGTCTCCGGCCCGCATTCTTCATGATACGCCGGGACAGGATGTTGCCTTCCCGCTTCGCTTACCCGTACTTGACATTGTGCACTACATCCTGAAAGAGGCAAATTGATAGTCCTCTAGCAAACTAGCTAGGTACCACCATGCTGTGGGTGGCTGTCTCCCTCAAGAACAGAGTCTTCACGTTAATGGTAGTGGCTGTAAGTCACTGCATGCTGTGTGGCATGGATAGCTCTAGGAGAGAGAGGTACGTACTGCAACGGATTCTTTCCACATCTTGTCAGATTAGATCCATCACCAAGTGCGTCTTGGAAGGGAGGCAAAGTACCTCATCCTGCATAATGCCAGGGCTCACACTACTGCGAGTGTGAGTATCCATTCATTCATTCACTCTCTCCTCTGCGCTAAGGCAAGGTCCTCTCCCAATACTACGCAACGGGCTTATGGATGCATTCTAATAGCCTCGTACTCTGTACAAGTACGCATCTCCAGTCCTCGGGGTTGATGCCGACACACCCTCCGGGGCCCAGCAATGGCACACCTTGGAACCTCAATCCCGAGGTCTTCTCGTGAACCCCCCGGTCTCACTGCCCGCTCTCGGAGCAAAGCTTTGCACCATCTCAATCGCCCGACTCATGTTTTCTTGGTGATCCTGCCGCCTCCACAGCGCGCATTGGATCGCATGTGCCCCGGTTTTTCCACATTCCACAACCCGTCAAGTCTCTGGGTGACCATCTGCGACACAACCTGCATCTTGGCTCCCTTCTTTTCGAGCTTCGAGACTTGTTCGACAGACGCGCCGCAGCCCTGTGGTACAGATCAATTGAATGAACAAGAAGCTGGTTTGCAAAAGAATACCTTGAGTAGGGAAGAACTTTTGACAATGGTACGCCGTTCTTGCCTACCTAGGATGGTCCTCCAACTTGTAACAGTTTCGCGCATAAGGTGACTTCCGGGGCACCTAAAGTTGATTATCCTTTCTTTCATGTTCCATTCCCAAAAAAAGAGAAGCCTCCACCGATACATGAGTTTCCATTATTCTACCTTACCTCAGTGCAAGGAGGGATAGAACAGACCAGGCAGGTAAGGTAAGGTAAGGTAACGTATACGTACTCAGTAGACACTTCCAAATAAAACAACTAAAAGTTCCAGGTTTTGCGTGTACGAATACGTAGGCACACGTACCTGAGGCATGCAGCTAGAAAAGACACAGGTACCGTGGAGGTACGTATGGAAGGTTCGCGACGTCAGGAAGGCGGCGTAGGCCCGTTCTTAGCCTCCCTCCCTCCTACCTGGGACGGCCTTGAACCGAAGGAAGGAAGGAGGGACCTGAGAGATTTGATCTTATCAGATCCGAAGATAACCCCGAAATCGCATCATGACCCCTCCCCCGACTCCACTTGGTCGTGCAAACTGTTCATCATCGATTTTTTTCTCTCCTCTTGACCTGTCATCGTCTCACCCCTCCCTCCCTGTTCACTAACGCATTTTTTTTTGTATGTACTTCGTCCCCTTCGCTTCCCACATCTTCGTCTCTCCTGCATCTAGGTCCCCCGTCCGATTTCTGCATCGCGACCAATTTGGAGTGGGTCTTACTGGCACCATCGATCTGCAACATCTAGGAAAGCGTCGCCGACAAGTTTCTCGTAAACCGACGGCTTTGGCCTGGCCTACTGCACGGAGCATGGCTACTATGCCCGTGAAGTTTCTTCAAGCCACGCATCGATGTCATCGCCCTTGTCCGGCGGCTTCTAGTCTCAACGGCCAGTGCCCGAGCAACCCAAGTACTTCACCGACGTGAAGCATTCCAGTACACGAAAGAGACTCGAGACAATATCATAACAAGAGAGACAACAAATACTATATGACGAACAGACAAGCTCTCGGCGAGGCGAGGACTCGAAAAAGTCCCAGATACCAGGAATTACGGTTGAAATCGGACAGGAGAAAAGCATCGATCGATACTTTGATTGCCTCAGACAAGCATCAGCTGAGCCTTTCCAGGGTCCAGTCAACGTCGTTGTCATCCCCGCGTTGGGAAAACTGTTCGTTCGTCAGGTCGTCTATGGTCCATCGTCGTCGCTAGGCGCTCGCTTTAACGCTCAACCCGTCGTCAGGCCTTCAATCGCTTCGGTATTTTCATTCTAGCTTCTGTGCCTCCGGTCCATCCCTCCCGTCCGCTCCACTCCTGTGGCCCGGCACATGCAAACGAGCCAGCGACGCCAAGGCGTGCGACCGCCGCTCGCCGCCGCTGATGCTGGACACCATCTCAGACGGATTGGTTCAATGATTATGGGGTCCTGTTCTTCATTCCTTTTTCCGTCCTCGTGCAATCGACAATGCAGTGCTGCTCTCGACCTTACCTTAATCTTCTCCGTCAACCGAAGCGCATTTCCCACTCTTGTCTGTGTGTACATACATACAACCCTTCATTGCACCCATCCATCATCCACTCGCCCACTCAAGAAGTTCCTCCATTCACCAAAGGACCACTTACACCACCTATGTACGGACACAAAGTACCATGGACATGAACTTGGCATGGGTTCCAGTCTGCGAGACCCAGACCAAGACCCAGGACCCAGACCCTCCCAGGGCATCCCTTACTAGCGAGCCCATCTCTGGAGTCAGCCCGTTGCGACTCTGTCCCTGGCCCCAACCCCTGGATGTGGAAAGGCGTCCGTTGTGGATGGCTTCTTGCTTTGAGCCGAGCTGGCGCTTCACTCTATGCGCCCACGAGGTACGCCAATACCTATGGCAACCACCTATACTACTCCGTACCGTCACTACCCACGGCATTCTGCGCAGCTCTTCTCCCAAGAGAGATGGGCCAGCCAGGGTCCTGTCCTGTCCTCTATAGGCTTTCTCCGGCAGAATGACAGGATCGCGGCATCGACGTTGCCCCATTCGCGCGAAGAACCGAATGTTGCAATTTGAGTAGGCTCCTCCAAATACGTCTAGTCCCTAGCCTCTGGGGCGTGTAACCAAACGATAATGTACAGAGTACGGATACCCCCTACCCAGTCCCAATCTCCATCTGCTCGTTCGTGAGCTCCGAGGCGTGGGTCCAGCGGTCCAGCTTCGAACTTGTCGGTCGATCACGCCGCCTCAATGGGACGCGGGCATCCATCGACGTCTGCCCGTTTTGCATATTAGCCCCTCGGTGCCCCTCCTCTCCTTCCCATGCGTCTCTTGATTCTTCTTCACCAGCTCCCATATCTCTCCTCAAGCTTTCTCTCAACCGCCCATTCAACCGGTGGCCCAGCTTCATTATACCCAAAGGCTTCAACCAGATACGCCACTCTTTGAGAGTCGATGACGAACAGTGTGGCTTGAGACTACTTTGGATCAATCACAAGGAAAAAGCCAGGATTAGACGAAAAAAAAAAGTTCTAACCACACCCCAAAATACCCCGCGTAGTTTCGCACCCGCATCCCACTTTTACACCGGGCTTTTATTCAAACCGTCTCAAAATCGAAAAGTAACGCCCTCAAGGTCAGTTGATGTGCTCCCACTCTTCCGAAAGAGTGAGATTTCAAAGGTCATGAAGCTGATGGTTTTAAAGCCCCTGCTCTTCCCGCTCAGTTGCATTGTCACTGGCACATTGATCGACCCATTCGCTCGTCAAATAATACCCCCAGCCGCTGTTTGCGACTTGTCTATATACCCAGCACACGCATACTTACACCAAACCACGTAATTTGAAATCCCCACCACCACCACTACCTATCACCATGTCTCCTCATTGCGACTCGCCGACCAACGGCTCCGATGCCGGCAGCGGCTTTTCTTCCTACAATGGTAACGGCAATGGCTACGCCAACGGCAACGGAGCCGCCTACCAGAACGGCAACGGTGTGAATGGCCACCAGAACGGTGCCTCCCGCATCCAAAAGTCCCAGTACCTCCAGCCCACCGACCACAGCGATATCCACGACCTCATCTGCGTTGGCTTCGGCCCCGCCAGTTTGTCTGTTGCTGTCTCCATGCACGACTTCCAGGAGGCCGGCCGCCAGCTCACTCCCGGCTCAGCTGCCGCCAAGGTGCTCTTCCTCGA